TAAATCATATACATATATGTGTGTGTGTGTGTGTGTGTGTGTGTGTGTGTGTACAAAAATGCATAGGGCTGTTTCAAGTGATTTAAGAAACATTCTAATAGAATGACAACATTGCTAAACATGTAACTGAATTAATTCTAATCTAATCTGGTTAAAATGGTGACTCCCTCTAGAACAGCAGACCCTAATACCCAAAAATGAAACAACAGAACTGAGCACAAAATAACAATGTTTAGATTTAAATGTCAGTCAATGGAAACAGAACAGTGATGCTGCCTTGCTTTTGACCAATGTGCTTTTAGGTTTACTAACCTGAATTGGACTGTAAAGACCCTTCTCTCTCTTTCTCTTCCTGTGTGTGTGTGTGTGTTTAAATCACTCTCCTAGTCTACGGAAACTGCTTCATCCTCTGGCCAAGACATCTGTCCCTTTAACTTAACGCTGTAGTATGACAAGCCACTTTTATGGGAAAGATGGAGTTGATTCATGACATTTAGGGGTGGTTGGCAGTGTAATATGAAGTGTGGAGAAGAGGCGAGGGTTGTGAATTAGCTGAACCAGAGGACCGGACTGCTTTATCAGAGAAGACGGCTGAGATCAGATAGCAGACTTGGTAAAAGTAGCTATGCAGCTCACCCTGAGTTGGTTTAAAGCCACCTTCCTTCTACCACTATTGTGCTGTTCAGCAAAATCAAATGGGTTTCATTAAGTGCAGTGTCTATGGAAAGGGTGCTGGCGATTAAAATTCACTATTGAGACCTAGTGAGACCTATAACACAATCCATCCTATGACTAGCGTTGTCTGGGTCGGTACTAGGTACCGATAAGCAGCTGCCTTGACTTTTGTCTGTTTTTATAGTCCCCTCTCCTTGATTTCGAGTAGACGGAGGTTTTCAGCCCAACAGTCCTCTTTAGATTTACTATTAGAACTGATATTCAGTGCTACATTCCCAATTAGATTGACATGCTTAAAATCAGTTTGTGCTACAAGGTCTAAGGATTGTTGTCCGCTCATTTTGTAAGTATGAATAATAAACAAAAAAGGAAAACAAAAGAAAAGACAAAGCTTTCTCAATTCAGCTTTCAAAATTTGAAGATTGAATGCGGCTTCTCTTCAAGAAATTACATGTGTATCTTAAATAATCTACATCGTAAGCAGCGGCCTATGGATTTCTCAAACGATACTCTGTTTTGCTAAAAACAAACAAACAAAAATCTCAGGATGTCTTTTGGGTTTAAACAAAATCTCAGCATTTGAAATAAATCATAAGATAATGGAATAAAAAAATTATGAAATAAAAAATGAACCTGCATATGCCAAAACATTTAAAAAAATCAAGTAAATACAGAAATTATTGCACAGTTAAAGGCTCCATATAAAATATTGTCTAATGTATCCACTCATAGATTGGTGACTTATACCAGCTCCAAATTAATTTTTACTTTTTTCCCCCCTCTTCTTTAATGTCTTTATCATTCTCAGATGGCAGTTTCTTAGGACAAAACTAACTCAAACCATTAACTTGAAAAAAAATGAAGGAAAAAAAAAATAAAATAAAATAAATAAATACCCCAACAACAAACAAACGGAAAAAAACAAAAATAAAAAAACAGAGTATCCAGCTACCCCTTTTATAATCAAGGAATTGTATTTTCAGGGCCCATGCCCTCACCTCTAAAGTCGCCATCTCTGTTCTTCATACCCTCCCCGGTGACGTCACTAGTGCCTGGCTCGGGTGAACTGGTGGTGGACAGGCCATCGTCAGAGCGCCCTGTCAAAGAGCCAGACTTGTGCATGTGGGTCTTCATGTGGCGTTTCAGTTTGCTAGCCTGAGAACAGGCATGGTCACACAGTTGGCACTTGTAGGGTTTCTCGCCTGTGTGGCTTCGCCGATGAACAACCAGGTTACTCTGAAACTTGAAGGTCTTGCCACAGAACTCACAGGACTTTGACTTGGCCTGTGTCTGTGGCGGGGGGGGGCTGTTAGGGGGGCGGTGGGGTGGTGCTGTTAGGGGGCATGGGAGGTAGCGGAGGGGTGCTCAGAAAGGGCGACTTCGGGCTGGGCTGGAAGGGGTTGGGATTGAGGAGGCGATGCATAGGGTTGGCACGGCTTGGTGACAGCGGTGGAGTGGAGTTGTTGTTTCCAGCGAGCTCTCTAAGTCGGCGGGAGAAATCCATGGACTGGGACTCCATGGCCATGGGTGTCATGCGCATCACTCTCTCAAAGGCACTGGGATGCTGGGAGATTAAACCCATTTCCTCTGCGCTAAGGCGTTCTAGGCGATGGGGATCTAAGTGATGGCGAGGAGGGGGGCTGACAAAGGGAGGCGTATTAGGCAGGCGGTTTTCCACAAAGCCTGGTGGGGGCTCTCGGAGTAGGGGCCCAGTCATCCGTAGGAGGTGGAAGGGGTTGTTGTCCCCTAAAAAGTTGGTTAATGGGGACTGTGGTATGGATTCAGCACCAATGGGGGGAGGAATAGTGATCCGTGGGGTCAGGGAGGTATTTGAGGGGTTGGTCTCCAAGTAGATGCGGATCCCATGCATGTTCTGAGCGTGCTGCAGGAGGAACCAGGCGTTGGTAAAGGGCTGTTTGCACGTTGTGCATATGTAACTCGAAGGTTCATCTCTACCTGCAACCAAGCAGAAAACAACAAAGATCTTTATTTGTGTTTCAGTTTAAAACCTCTGCAGGTCACTTTCACAACAATTGTGTCAGAATGCCAGAAATTTAGGCCTGGTAAATAAACCACTATAATCAGATCTGACTTGATAAAAAAACGAGGCATAGGGTCAAGCATGATTACATGTTACAAAGAACAAAGGTTTGAGGTATCGACACTTTGGGCAATGGCCATTTTCGTGCACTCATCAGGCTGTCACATGAACAGGGCAACTCATACTTAACAGAGCTGTGACAAGTGCATTTCCATACTGCTCCACGAAGGGTTGGTGCTATGGGAACATTGCATTCCCCATTTCAGCTTGTTTTTAATCTTCGCTTTTACAAACGGCTGACTCATTGTAGAAGCATAATGCCAGGCAAGAGAACTCTAAACTGGCAAATCCTCCAAGCACTGAGACTGGCCTAGGATGCCAGAGTAATATGCCACCAAATTTGAAAAGTACAACTTATACTGTGATTTACGGGATTCTCATCACTATGAAACAAATAAAATTAAGTTGTCTCCTCAAAGAAACAAAGAAAAAATGAGAGAGGAGGGTGTGGGTTGGGGGAAGGGGGAGCACACATCAAGATAAATGGTTTCAAATAAAGAGTGAAAACACTGCCTGTGATTTAAGAGGCTATGGGGGGAAAAAAGCACACCGGTGTGAGTGTTAAAGTCTGTGGCATTTAAAACAGCTCAAGGGTATTATTTACTGTTCCATTAAGAATTTCTCAAGATTGTTTTTGTTACTTCGTCTCACGTTTTTATCTTATTCTATAGTTACACTTACTGGAAAGCCCCCTCCCTTCTTAATGACATCACAAAAAAAATGGCTCACTAGTGAATTAATTGCACAATTTTACTGATAACAATTTTATTCCATATTTCAGGTATTTTAATCATATAATTAAATACCAGCAAGTAAATGTGTGAAGTCTGCATACACTCTGGGTTCAGGTAAAGTGTGAACAGTATCAGTTCTCAGATCAGAGGATGTGTTAAAAAGTGGCTCCTGTGCTTGGTGTGGCTCTGGAGCTTTAACTGTACATGACTAAT